ATGCAACAAATTGCTGGGTTTTGTTTACGTATCCATTCTGTTAATCTGTGTCTTTTTACTAGAGAGTTGAGTCCATTGATGTTGAGAGAGATTAATGACCAGTGGCTGTTACATCCTTTGAATTTGATGTTGGCTGTGGTCATAAGGTTGTGTGCTTGGTTGCTTTTTGTTTTACTGTAGTGAGGTTAATTATTTCCTGTGTTTTCTTGACAGAAGCTAATTTTCTTGGGTTATATTTTCCCTTCCAGTGTCTTCTGTAATGCTGGATTTGTGTGTAGGTATTGTTGACATTTGTTTTTGTCATTGAATATCTTGTTTTCTCCGTCTATGAGGACTGAGAGTTTTGCAGGGTATAGTAGCCTGGGTTGACATCTGTTTTCTCTTAGGGTCTGTATGATATCCGTCCAGGCCCTTCTGGCTTTCATAGTCTCTGTTGAAAAGTCAGGTGTGATTCTAATGGGTTTGCCATTATGTGTTACTTGGCCTTTTTCTCTTGCAGCTTTTAGTATTTTTTCTTTGTTCTGTATACTTACGGTTTTGATTATCATGTGGCGGGAGGATTTTCTTTTCTTGTCTAATTTATTGGGTGTTCTGTAGGTCTCTTGTATTCTTATTGGCCTCTCCTTTAAGTTGGGGAAATTTTCTTCAATGATTTTGTTGAAAATATTTTCTGAGCCTTGGTGCAGGGAATCTTCTTTTTCCTCTATTCCTATTATTCTTACGTTTTGTCTTTTTATGTTGTCTTGAATTTCTTGGATGATCTGTGTCAGGAATTTTTTAGATTTAACATTTTCTTTGACAGATACATCTATTTCTTCCATTATATCTTCCACACCTGATATTCTTTCTTCCATTTCTTGTAGCCTATTGGTTATGCTAACCTCTGTAGTTCCTGCTTTCTTTTCTAAGTTCTTTCTCTCCACAATTTTTTCCATTTGTGTTTTTTTTTTTTTTAATTTTTCCTGTTCTGTCTTCAGATATTGAGTCGTTTTGTTGATTTCCTTCACCTGTCTGGCTGTAATTTCCTGTTTTTCCATCAATTCCTTCAGATGTTTGTTTGAACAATCCTTTGTTTCTTTTATTTCATTCAGTGATTTAAGCATTTTCTCTCTAAAGGCCACAAACTGTGTGGTTGTAGCTTCCTGTATTCCTTTTTGTATTTTATTTGTTTCCTCTGTTATCTTCTTCATGAGCATAGATGTTAGATCATCTTCTTGAATTTCAATTATGCTTGGGTGTCTAGGGCTATTTGTCCCTGGATAATTGGGTTCTGGAGATGCCATATTGCTCTGGCTTTTGTTGGTTGAACTTTTACGGTGTCCTCTACCCATTGGGCTATCTTAGGTGTTTGAAGTTAGTTTCTGGTGGTTCCTGGAATCCTGTGGTGGAGCGAATTCCTTTGGCAGGAATATGGTTTTTCCTGAAGGACGCCTTCTCATCTTTTTGGGTATAGTCACTGGATGGCCCGTATTTTTCAGGAGTTGCTACAGCTCACCTCAGGCATAGAGACCTGGGTGGTAACTGTGGTCCTTGTTAGTCGAGAGGGCTCTCCTCTCACTGGGAGAAGTCCTGGAGACAGCTGCCCTGCTTCTGTGTTTCTTGCTGTAAATTTAGTGATCAGCTGCTGTAACCTGTGTGTCCCATGGTTTGGTCAGTTTTGTTAGGGATAACTGGTTGCCCCTTGGAGCAGTATCTGGGGGTTGATCTTGGAGTTCCTGGTCTTTTGTAGATCTGAGGTTGGGGCTCTGTGCCCCAAAACCCAAGGGGTAATCTGTGGCCGGTGAGTACTGCTCTCCTGGTAACAGCAGGCTATCTGGGTCAGAGCAGGTCCCTGGGTTGGGCCAGTCTGTGGGACCTTTTCTGAGGGGTATACTGGGTTGCCTAAGTCCGTCCCCTTTGCTTCGTTCCTTGTTCCTTGTGAGGGTTTCTCCAGACAGTGGCTCCAAGACTCTGGTATCCTGGGGCACACAGTTCTGTCTGTAAGGAGTAGTTGGTACAAAGCAGGTCTCTGGGCTGGCGGCACAAGTGCCCGCCTGCTAGTCTGAGGGATTTGGGTTCCCAATAAGACTATGCTCCCCACTTGGGCCCAGATCCTTGATGGCTGGGTGTACTCACCGGTCTGCTGTCTGCGAGACTTTCCCCAGGCAAAACCTAGGTGACCCAAGGTTTTCTTCCTTCCCCGGGAGTCTCTGGACAGGGATTCCCAGACTCTGTCGCACTGGGGCATGCAGCTTGGCCGTACAGGTGAGCTGAGGGCGCAGCTGCTTGGAGAGCGGTAGCGGGAGCTCAGTTGTGATGGCGGCGAGTACCCGAGGTCTGTGAGACTTTTTCCAGGGAAAGACTGGGTGACCCCCTGATCAGTCTTGCAACTTTCCTTCCCCGTGGGGTTTTCTTGCGACTGGGACTCTCAGTCTCTGGCACCCTTGTGCCCTCCCATCAGCCTGGAAAAGTGATTGGGACATGCAGGCCTGAGGATCTCGCCTGAGACCCAATGCCCGAGTTACCCGGGATCTCTTTCGGGTTCTGGCTGGGTGGCCCGAGAGTGGACCTGACTGATTCCCACTCCATGGGAGTCTCCCCTCACCTGGGAAACAAGATCGCTGTAGTTTTAGGGCCCAAGGTTCAGTCTCCTGGTAGCTGCACCGGAGAGTGCTGTCCCGCTTCTCAGACACAGTGCTCTCCCGGCGCTGCCATCTTGGCCCCCCTGTCCAAAATGGATCTTAAGTCCTAACCCAAACCAGGATTCTCTTGGCTATGCATGATGCCCTATGAGAGTTCATTTAAATGCTGACTAGACCATGGAGTCATCTAGCTGCATCCTTTGTTCTATCCCCACAGAGAAGACTTCTCTGTGTCTTCCTGTTGCACCTCCATGCTCATCCTACAGTGATCATTTTCCTTATTCTTCACTGAATGATTGTAGCAGAAGACAAGTTTTCATGTAATTACTGACATCTTTTACCTAACTAATTCCTCTCTTTACATTATTGCTTCAATTTACTTAGTGGTTTCTTTGCGTCTTATATGACAAAGTTATCTATATAGAGATATGGAAGAGATATCAGAAAAGAAAAATATATAAATATATAGTATATCTAATGTATAAATGTTTAATATTCCATAAACGGAAAATTATGAGAAACTGAAAAAAATGTGCTGGAAAAAAAAGCATTAGTGAGCAGTCCATTTCTCCTAGGCAGTTGTTTTCATTTTGTTAGTAAAATAAACCAGAGGACAAGTAAAAGTATACTCAGTTCTGGTTTTGAAATATGTTTTCTTTCTCACTGTCATTTAATTATTTCTTAAATGTGATATACTTGAGTATGATCACTACTTTTCGTTCAGATGTGAACTTAGACATTTTATATAATTTTATAGAGATAATTCTTGAAAAGGCAGGATTTGTCAGAGGCAGTCCCTTTCCCCATTACTATGTAACCCACTTAGACACTAAACTGCCATGGCCTTTGACATAATCTGATTGTCCTGCTCTTTGATCACATCCCCTTGAGGGGGGAGCAGCCTTACCAGGCCACACAGGATGACAATGCAACCACTCCTGATGAGATCTGATAGACTAAGACCAGAAGGAAGGAGAGGAGGCCCTCCCCTATCAGTGGACTTGGGGAGGGGCATGCGTGAAGAAGGGGAAGAGGGGGTGGGATCGGGAGGGGAGAAGCTTATGGGAGGATACAAATTGAATAAACTGTAATTAATAAAACAAAGGAAAACAGAAAATGCAGGATTTTTTGTTTTCTTTGGCTCTTTCACTGGTCATTCTTTTTTTTTTTTTTATCTTACATATTCCAGTACCATGCTTTTATGAGATTTACAGAAAAAGGATAGTTCATGGGATGAGAAAGTTCTATTATATCTGTACTTGCACTGAATGTAGATTTTAGCATTTACATGTATCTAGATCTGACACTAACATTTCATTATAGACCATGGTTGGGTCTGCTACAGAATTGGGCAACTCGGGCATTGTCCTCATGAGAACATGATGCTCTCATCTAAACAGTCACTTGAATAAAGCACTATTGTTTTGCTTAGCAGCTGGAGACAGCAACTTGGGGACATAAATTCTCATCTTTATGCCTTAGTGACATAAATAAGAGTCAAAGTCAGGGACTTCTGAATAACTTACAACTTCTTGAAACAGAGGCTTCTCTATATTACAGATACATTTGGCACTATAGAGTCAGTAATGTCATAATGCAGGGAAAAATGAAAATATGCAAGTGACTCTTGGTCAGAGACGGTGATAAAGACCTCACACATGTAAGGAACTCTCTGACAAAAATTGTCAGTAGTAGTGCCCTCTAAAATTGCTGTTTTCAAACATTTCCACTCCATGGATTGAACACAAATGTGTAAAGAAGTCAGTTATGCAAACGTTGTGGGGAGCAGAATCTTGAAGTGAAATCTAGAGGAAATTATGTCCTAACACCACCAATAGCAGTACTTTTAAAGGAGACATGAAATGTCAAGAGTCCTTTTAACAAGAGATTTCACAGATGGTGCTTTGGGGAGTTTTTGTATCACTTCCTCCATGGTTTGCATCACTGTGATTATAGCTACTATCATAGGACTGACAGAAGTAGTCACCCTCATCCTCAGTCTGCAGGTTACTGATTCTCAGAGAGGCTGAGTTGGAGGAGCTGTCAGTGGAGCCAGAGAACCGATCAGGAATCCCGGATGGTCGCTCATTATTGTACTTTATCACAAGAGTGGGAGATCTTCCCAAGTGCTGCTGGTACCAGTGCACATAATAGCTTCCAATGTTACCACTGCTGGGTTGGCAGGGGATGGTAACTGTGCTTCCTAGAGACCCTGACACAGAGTTTGGCTGAGTCAGACTAAACTGGCCCATTGACCCTGTAAGAAGAAAATAATAAAAGTCAGTAAGAACAAGGCAACCCCATTCACAGACCAGCCTATGCGCCAAACATCCCAAGCAAGAGGCAGTTACTCTCCCAGAACTCCTTCAGTCAACTCACCTGCTAAGTGATAAAGGAGGACAAGGAGTAGTGGAGCCAGAGTCATTGTGAAAACACTCAGATTCAGCTTCCTGAGTCCAGTGCACAAGATATACCTCAGCACCCCTTCTTATTTGTTTCTGGGATTCCAGGTGCATGCTGGCTGTATGCAAAACCCCTATTCTGGTTTTGTTCAAGCCCCTCCTTTTATTTCAGACTGTGTCTGATTGACAAATGGAGAGACTGCTTGTGAGAAGATGTGGGCTTCATCAAAGGGTGGGACAGAAAACCTGAAAATGAAGGGAAAACAGGAGAGGAGTGGGGAGTTTGGCTATGAGAACCCAATGCAACCATGTCTTGCTACCTGGTATGTGACTGCTAGGATCCTAACTGCCAACATTGAGACTATTTGAGACTCACATAGCCACTCTTGAAGCCTGAGTGGAACATAAGTTGCCCCATAATATGATTCTTTCGGTGTCAACTAAAGCAGTGGGTAACCCAGTTTACTTTTGCAGAGAGATTCAGTGCCTGGTTTGAGAAGAAATATCTTCTTTTACTCTAAAAGTCCTGTGGTTATAATTGTGTCCATTTCTAGGTAAAAATGTATTAGAGGACTGTAGTTAAGAGTTTATCTCAGCAGCTAAGAATTCTTGCTGTTCCTGCGGAATATGTGAGGTTGGTTTTCAGCACCCATGTCAAACAGATCAGAACCTCCTCTGATTATAGTTCTAGGGGATTAGATGTTCTATTTTGGCCTCCTCAGATATCCAGACTCATTTGTTTGCACAAACACCCCTCCACATCATGTATATATATAATACATAATATATATAATACATAATATTATAAGTATATAATTTTTAATATACTCAAGAATAAAAGTAGCTTTAATATAATTGCCAAAAAATGGGAAAGGTATCTGTGAGAGTAAATTAAATTTTTTTATAAAATAAAATTCTCTGTTACTGTCAATAATTAAATGAAAGATAGCTCTACAAAAATACAGGGACCGTCTCTGACATGAACTCATGTGCTGGCTCTTTGATCACTTCCACCTGAGGGGGGAGCAGCCTTACCAGTCCACAGAGGAAGACAAAAAAGCCAGTCCTGATGAGACCTGATAGACTATGGACAGATGGAAGGGGAGGAGAACACCCCCATCATTAGACTGGGGGAGTGCATAGGTGAAGAAGAGGAAGGCAGTGTGGGATTGGGAGGGGGTGGTGGAGGGGACTACAGCTGGGATACAAAGTCAATAAACTGTAATTAATAAAAATAAAATTAAAATTAAAAAATATAAAAGTATATTATGGATTATTTTTCATTCCTAAGTTTTTAATAGACTACAAGTTTAATTCCTTGTGCATTTAGAAACTATTTCTGTCACTTTTCTTTCAGAATCCAAAGATATAAATTTTATTTTAAATAATACTTTATATATTAAACAAAAAACAGCTTAGCTTCAGATTAAATATGTTTCATGCATAGAAAATTTTATGATGAGCACTGCTGACTAAGTCTTAAATGAAAACTAGATAACTGAACTTTGTAAAAGTAAAAATTCTGAAATGTACACAAAATTCTGAAACAATATCTTTTACATATGCTATAGATGAAAAAAAATCATGAATTTAAAATCTGATAAGGAGTAAACAAAATGTTTTAATTAACAGCCAGGATCAGGATTGGGATTCTGGAAGCATCTCTGTGGTTTCCCCTCAAGGTATCTATAACACATCCAAACACCACTGAAGAAATGTCTGAGCAGGAATTGGAAAGAAATGTTGAATGGTTTGAAAGTCTGTGTATTGAAGACTAGGTCACAGCAGAAGGAGTCCACCACAATGCCAAAGCAATAGGAGCGCATTCTTTGTACCTCTTCAGTGGGACTGGCAATTAGGCCAAGCTTTACCTTTGAAAAACTATGTTCATGTATGCTCCCACGATAGATTTAAGTGTTCACTACCATGACCTGCTGTCCAGGAACTGCACATTTTCCCCCATAGTTCTTCAAGTACATGGTTCTGAAAACTCGATGTTTCTGTACTTAACTTTTATGTTAGATACATGGAGCAGATCATTGTAATTTTACTCTTTCTGAAAGTTTAAGGATGTCATGCTATAAAAGATAGGAAACTGTATTCTGATTACCCTTAGTGATTACCGTAAATAATTATCACGTTAATGTAGAATATAGTTGGTAAAAATTTGAATAAACTGTTTTCTCTGTTCCTATAATGTCTTAGCATGTTATTGATCCTTTGTTTTTTAATTTCATAGTTTTGTTTAAGAAAGTCATTTTTAAAAATTCTTTATTAATTGCACTTTATTCACTTTGAATTCCCCCTGTAGTTCCCTCTCTCCTCCCATCCCAACCCCTCTCTTCATCTACCCTCTGCATGCATGCCCCTCCCCGAGTCCACTTTTAGTGGAGGTCTTCTTTTCCTTCCTTCTGATTCTAGTCTATTAGGTCTCATCAGCAGTGATAGCATTGTCTTCTTCTGTGGGCTAGTAATGTTGCTTCCCACTCAGGGGGAGGTAATTAAAGAGCAGGCCAATCAGGCCATGTCAGAGACAGTCCCTCTTCCTATTACAATGGAACCCACTTGGATACTGAACTGCCATGGGCTATATCTGTGCAGGGGTCTTAGGTTACTCCATGTATAGTCCTTGGTTGGAATAGTAGTCTCAGGAAAGACCCCTGTGCTCAGAATTTTTGGTTCTGTTGCTCTCCTTGTAGAGTTCCTGTCCTCTCCAGATCTTACTGTCAGTAAGAAAGTCATTTTTAAGTTTGCTTCATATGTATTGTATGTATCATGTTCTGAGCATACATCATATATATGGCTGATGCACACACACACACACACACACACACACACACACAGAGAAAGACTCACACACTGTCAATAGTTAGACTGACTACCATCTGCCATATATTAGATCTGAAGAAAAAGTGAAAATATAGAAGCTGAAATCTTTGTCTTTCATTCTAAGGGATTCCCTTCTCTAACAGTTGTGGATTTGTAGCATTAGAATAATTAAGCAGTGGAGAAGATATCAAATTTTATATTTTGAGACTAGGTTATTACAATTGAAAGCACATTCTGAGTGATTTTTCTATGCTACATAGGTTTTGTCCAAGAAGATATGAAATTATTTTGTTACTAGAAATATTTTTCTGGACAATGAGTCTATTGAGATGGAGGACAAAGTATAAAACAGAACTGTGAGTTTACTTTTAATGTGGCCAATGGGGCCTAGGAGCAGGAAGGTTCCCAGGGTAGTTCTTGGGTAACAGTCCTCAATGGCATCACTACCTGTGTGAGTATGGGAAAGGAAGTAGTGATTTCTGAATGACTTGGTCTTGACAGCAGCCTTGTCCTCTCAAGAGCAGCCCATCACTGCCCTCTAATGGGCATAAGCATTTCCATGAGAAGTAGGGCAGGGGTGAAACTATTTCTTCCAGGACAGAATTAAAACTGAAACAGGGTTAAAGGAACATGGGTATGCAAGGAAAGCCCAACAGGGTTCCTGAGATAGCCTGTTCTTGTTCCTAGAATACTCTTTGAGAAGAAATAGCCAAAAGGCACAGGAGTAGATATTAACACAGAACCAATAGGGAGAATGGGAGGACACTGGAGCCCAATAAATTACACAAGCCAACATCTAGCATTTGTTTAACAGACTTCTTGTCTTCTCCCATTACGAATTCCACTCCTCTACTACTTGGTCTTCTATATTTCCAATAATTCAGTGTTTTTTTTCCTATGGGGCAGAAAATAAACTTGGCAATTCCCTATAATTTTCCCACATCCCAGTTATATTTCTTGGGGTCTCTCATCTAGACTTTGACATGACCTCCTCTGAAGCTGATATGCCTAACTGAAAATCACAGAGAAGAACTTAGAATTATTCAAGATGCAAGAGGCACTCAGAGGCCAACTTCCATACTATGAGGTAATTCTCCACAGTGACATGTTTGGATTCTCAGTCAGCTCCCACCTCCACTGGTTCTATGAAGAGCAGGTGCTTGGGGTCTGAATGAGCATGGTGGAGGGTGATTTTAACCTTGAGAACCAGGATAAAGGCTTGTGTGGCCACTCTTCAGCCAAAATATATGGCAGATAGCACTCCCAAGGAACTGACAAGCTTGGAAGGAGAAAGACTGACAGAGGTTTATTTTCTACTCAGTGGCTCTGAGAGTGATTCACAGTGATATTACTATTCTTCTCATAGCTTCTGGCTCTTGGACTCTTGAACTGGAAAGAGTTAAATGGAGGCACCTGAGTGTAGGCTGGTGGAGAAAATTCAGAGTACACCTTGAGTTCTGTGTCCAGCATTGAAAGAGTCAGTCAGTGGAGGAAAGAGAGAATGCTATTTTTTTCCTGCATCATAGCTTAAAGAATCATAGCTTAAAGTGTTTGTGTTTTGGCTTTTCCTTGGTGTTATCTAAATTTTGTCCAGTATTTAAAAGTAACAGTCTGAGATGCTTGATCTTCTGTTGTACAATAACCATACCTGGGGCCTATACTAATGTGGTCAGGAAGATGAGAGTGGAGAATGTGCCAGGCCTTTATGCTGCCAAGAGAAACAAGCCCATTATTGTTTTAGCCTAAAAGTCAAATGATAATTGCTGTTGGAAGCCATGGCTCAGGCAGCTGCTTTGATATTTAAATCTCAGCAGAAAGACTGCTTTTACCAGGCCTTCACTGAAGTCAGGGAAGAATTTGCAAGTTCCTCTCCTTTTGTTTGTGACAGCAGGTGGGATGGCTTGTGAAGATCGCACCTCTTGCTTCACCTCCTTGTGTGAATTCAACTCATTGTTCTGAGATGTTTCTACTCTGGCTTAAAAGCTCTCTGCAATAAAAAAGTCAGGCTTGCTGCTTGCTGTTGTGGCTGTCAAGTTTGGAGCCTCTTAAGAAAGTCTCCTGTGTGCTGTGTGGTGTTTTTTTATTATTATTATTAATTTTAATTCTCACTCCTGACTCAAGAACCCATTTGACTCTGCTGGCAGACTCAGGCAGATTGGTGCCCAACTTGGGGCTTGAGATACAGGGAATCAGTGAAGGACACCACGGTTGTTGGCGAGCTTG